TTTAACTTGGACATAACCTGCGGGAGGGGCACAAGCCCCAGACACAAAGACTACCTGCCTAAGTCATCTCCCCTGCCTTATAGCGTGGAGGACACGCAAAGATACCTGCCCTGCTTCTCTTGGCAACCTTTTTTTTTTTTTTTAGGCAATTGGGGTTAAGTGAGTTGCCCAGGGTCACACAGCTAGTAAGTATCAAGTGTCTGAGGCCTGATTTGAACTCAGGTCCTCCTGACTTCAGGGCTAGTGCTCTATCCACTGCACCACCTAGCTGCCCCACCCTGCTTCTCTTGGGGGAAGCTACAGCACACACGGGCTGACCCAATTACTGGGATTGGTAGTTTTGCTTAACTGTTTTTCTCTGTTATAGGGGAGGGCTTTGTGGAATGGGAAGGACTCTGGAAAATGTCTGTGGCATAAAAAATAAAAGGCATCAATACAAATGCAAAAACCATACAAAGCAAGGCAGTGACCTCATGACCAAGGCCAGTCTTACTTTGGAGCAGGTGGGGGCTGAGAGGCCCTGGGAAAGGCCCTTGGCTGCCCAGTTGCTCCCTGACCAGCATGTGGATGCCTGAAATCCCTTCAGGTGGCCATAAAGCCCTTCCTTCCTCCTCGGGTTTAGAATTCTGATGTCTCCAGACAAGGGGAGCAGCGGCTTCACATCCACTGGGCTTGTTAGACCTCCTCTGAGGGCGGGTTTGAGCAGGAAGGGGAAGAAGCTGAGATGGAGGGGTGGGCTGGAGGGCAAGGATGGCGATTGTGGGGCAGGGGTGGGGTAGGGGTGGAGAGACACTTCCCAGTTTGACTCCAGGCTAGACCTATTTCTGAGTAACACAGTAACCCAGACCCTTAAGGAATGGTTTGTTTTTGAGCTGATGAGGAGGCAAAAAGGAATCCTGGGGATTGGAATGAGAAGACTAGTCCTGCTACTTAATAGCTAGATGACCTTGAGCAAGTCACTCTCTAAGCTACCCTTTCCCTATCTGGAATGATTATTAAAATAATACTAACTCACTTGACATCACACTTTGAGGCTGGCAAAGTGCTTTACTACATACATGGTCTCATCTGATCCCCACTACAGCCCTGGGAAGTCGATGCTGTTATTATCCCCACTTTACAGATGAGGAGATTGAGGCTCACAGGAGTTAAGTGACTTGCTCAGGGACACACAGCTAGGAAGTATCTAAGGCCAGATTTGAACTCATAGAATCATACCTTTAGAGCTGGAAGGGACCTTGAGAAGTGACTTGCAGGGGGATTTAAAACAAGGTCCCCTGAGACTTGAAACCTAATGCTCTTTCCATTGGATGACTCCAAATCAAGGGCTTAACTACACCGAGATGCTCCATCTGTAAAATGAGGATGATCGTCCCTGCCCTATATGTTACTTCTCTGCTCAAAAAGCTTCACTAGCTTCCTGCTGCCTGCTCAATAAGGTTCAGGCTCCATTGCCTGATGTTCAAGGCCTCACCTCCACCCCCAATCTGGTAGCACCCTACTTTCCCAGCCTCATCTCATATCATTCCTCTCTGAACAATCTACACTCCAAGGAAGCTGGCTTGCTCTCTGCGCCATGAATAGACCCTCCCCTTTCCCTCTTCTAGGCCTTTGTTAATGTGATTTCCAATGCTGGAATTCTCTCTTCCTCCCTCCCTCTGTTACTGTTGTGCTTTTGTTGTTATTCAGTCATGTCTAACTCTTCGAGACCCCATTGGGGGTTTTCTTAGCAGAGATACTGGAGCAGTTTGCCATTTCCTTCTCTAGCTCATTTTACAGATGACAAGACTGAGGCAAATAGAGTGAAGTGAGTTGCCCAGGGTCATACAGCTAGTGAGTGTCTGAGGCTGGATTTGAGGTTAGAAGATGAGTCTTCCTGACTCCAGGTGCAGTGCTCTAGCCACTGCACCATCCAGCCACCCTTGTTAAATTCCTAGCTCACCTTTGAAGCCCAATTCAAATGGCCCCTCTTTCATGTGGTCTTCCTGCTTAGGTCAGTAACAGCCTCTCCTCTCTTACTTTATGTATCATGTCCTTCACCCCTCTCTTGCACGTTGACCATGGGCTACTGTGTGTTATAGTTATTTTTCACGAGTCTCATCCCCATATTGGACTGTCAGGGCAGAGACCATGTACAATCAGGTCTCAGCAATGCAAATAGCACTGGAGAGTATACAGAAACTCCCCCCCCCTCCACTGCCCACCAAATTTCTCTGGCCACGTGTCCAGTGAATTCACTTCATTATGGCTATATGTATGCAGCACTCCCCAAACTTTCTGACAGGGGGGGATGCTGATGCAGATGCCCCAGGTCCATTTCCTCTTCTGTGCAAGAAAGGAGTTGGATTAGATGACTTCTGAGGCCTGCTTTCTATGTTTATGGCCTTCACTGAATTGACCAATCTTCCTGTTCCTGGTCTAGCTTTCTTTTTATCATGTTAGAGATGGAAGAGAGCATAGAGTGTGGTTATGCAAACCATAGCGACACAGGGGCCAGTAAAGGGATCTTAGATCATAGATAGTGAGCCGGAAAGGGCCTTAGAAAGCCATCTAATCCAAACCCCCTCATTTGAAAGATAAGGAAATTGAAGTCTGGAGATATGAAGTATGCTGTCTGTGGATGCCTACGTAGGAGGTGAGGTAGCCAGGATTTGAAGCCAGGTCCTCTGAGTTAAAAGCCAGTGGTTGTACAATTGTACCCAGTGCTTCCTTACCTTGGAGATAAAATACTAACTTCTCTGCCTGGTGTTTCAAATTCTCCATCCATCTGGCTCCCACCCAATGGGCTGGCATGATTCTATTGCCCCCTTCTGCACTCTCTGGTCCAGGCAAACTGAACATTCCATCTCTCAATGCCATATTCTCCCCTCTGCCTCTTATGATGCCCTCTCCCATCTGCTTCAGAGTATTCCTAGATTCTTTCCACAGGAGGCCCTTCCTGAGTCCCCTCCAATTGTTAGTACTCACCCATCCTCAAATTACTTTATATTTCCTTATCTATACAGATGCAAAGTGCTGAGCACACAGCAGGGGCTTAATAAATGCACACTGATTCATTGATACTATATAGTATGGCCCCCATAGAACGTCGGCTCCTTGAGGACAGGGGCTGATGTTATTTTATTTTTTTGTCTTTGTAACCCCATTGCTAAATCTCATAAGGAAATCAACTTTGTTGAATTATTTGTTGAATTGACTCTAACAGCTGGCTAGCTATGCAAATGAAGTTCTCCCATTTGTCCGAGACAAACCTGCAAACCCAGAAGTCTTGCATTTGTCATGTATAGCCACTTACACAGAAATAATTTAGGAGTTGCTGGTAATCTATCCTTGAAAACATCTAGAAATTATTTAAAACCAAATGTGATCCTAAGACCAGGCTTAGCTCACATGTGGCATTCATATGACACCTGCCTAATGCCCCCCTCTTTTCTCCAGCTTCCAGGGCCTAGTCTGAGGCTCAGAAGGTAGCACTAACAAATCAAACCAACCCATTTCTTGTTCGTTGGATTTGGAATCAGAAAACCTGATCTTGAGTCTCTAAGCTGACTATAGTATATATATAGATAGTATGTATATATGTGTGTGTGTGTGTATACATATATGTGTATGTATGTATTTACACACACACATATACTATCAATGTTACTAAAGGCAAGTCACTTAAATGTTACAAGTCTCAGCTGTCTCACCTGAAAAATGGGCATACTTGTACTACTTAACACTTTCAAACTGGAAACTTCAATAGAAAGGTGCCCTGTCACCTTCCTTGTCCTCAGTGTTGCCACAAAGTAGAAGGATCTTCCTCCTTCCCAAAGTTTTTGACCAGGATGTTAGATCCAGTAAGCTTTGTGGAGCCCAGGCCATACATGGTAAGACCTCAGGAAATTTTTGTTGTTGAATTGAAGGCACAGCTTGGGAAGCTACTAAATGTGCCTGACTTCTATGTTTTGGTTTAAGCCCTTCACAAACAGAAGGTCAAGAGCTAGAAAATGGCAGAGATGGGGCAGATCTGGAATTTAAGAACAATTTAAAGGGAGCTGAGATGGGACCTTTGAACATGCAATGTAAGATCTAAGAGAGACCTCAGAACGTAAACAATAGGCAGACTGTCAGGCCTGGAAGTTCTGAACTTGGGCCCAGAAGAAGTTGGGCTAGCCTTCAGGCTGTGCCACTTATCAGTTGGAAAATCAAGGGCAAATCCTAGCACCTTTCTGAGCCTCAGTCTCCTTATCTATAAAATGGGGACCATGGTACCTTACTCACAGTCAGTCAATAAGCATTTATTAAGCACCTACTAAGTTTCAGGTACTGTGATAAGTGCTAGAGATACAAAGAAAGGCAGAAAATTCAGTCCCTGCCCTCAAGGACCTTATGTTCTGATGGTAGAATCACCATAAGGACAATAAGATACATCCCAGATACCTGTAGAGTACATGGAGGGGCACTGACAGCTGGGGGGGTCAGGGAAGGGCCTCCTGGACAAGGTGGGATTTGAGTAGAGTCTTGAAGGACACCAGAGATTCTAAGACGGGGAGGGGGCATCAAGCCCCTCGTTTTACAGAGGAGGAAACCGCGGCCCAGAGAGGAGAGATAAATGGTTAGCAAGGGGCAGTGCTGGGCCGGGTCTCTAGACTTCCAGTTTCTTTCTACTTTGTCTCCAGAAAGGACAGTGCAGCCAAATGAAGCCAAACCTAACCTCCAGAGGGAAGCTCTTACAGTATGGCCAGAAGGCCGTTCTTTTGACAGCCTGGCATCACCTGGGAAGTGCTGGGGCTGTCTGAAAGGTGCAGGTGTCTCCTGTTAGCCAGGGGGAATGCTGGGCTGCCTGGTTCACTTAGCCAATCTCAGTCAAAAGAAGGAGAAAGAGAAGCATTCCCAGAGCAGCCCAACCTGAAGCCCCAAAGGGTAGCCACGTTCTTTTCTTCCCTCCTGGGGATAGAGAGGGACTTGCAAATAGCCTTTTTTCTAACACCTACCCACTGAAGGAATCTCCTTACCTTAGGAAAGGCTCGAGGCTGCCCGTCGGGGATCCTTGGCACGTTACCCGCAGAAGCCAGTCCCCAAGGGTCCCAGCAATTCAAGGTGGCTGGCTCTGGGCTTCCCTCCCTAGGCAAGCTGGGCCGGATGCTGGCTGCTGCGTCCTGTCCTGTGAGCTGCCACCATTCACATGCTGTTTGCCCTCTAAGGCAGCTTCTGCAGTCAGCTGGGTCGCTGCTGTTTTGAGGAGGACCTCTCGCCTGTTGGGGAGAGGGCAGGGCACTCTGGCTAGTCAATAGTCATGGTCTCCTTCCTCTTTCACATCAGTCCCCCCCTCCGGCTTTGAGCAGGGGAGAAGGGAGGCAGAGAGGAAGGGGACAGTAATCATAGGAGTTAAAGGCTTGCAGATTGTGTCGGGGTGGGTTGGAGAGTGGGTGGGCTCCTGTGCCTCTTCCTACTAACTCCCCAGGGAACGGTGCAGCTGCGAGGAGCATGGGAAGCAGGGAGGATTTTTATGACTAGGGTTGGGGTTGGGGGGGGGTGAGCTGGTTTATCTGTAGGCGGGGAAAAGTGGATCTTACCAGTATATGCTAATGTAATTGGCATGATGTGAAACTTGATTCTCAGGAAGGATAATAGTCTTACTTTCCCCCTTTCTTTTCAGTTTATACTTGTGGTGGAGAGCCCCTTTTGGGGACACGATATTCGGAAAACTACCATCCTGGCTTGGATTTGGTATACTGGAGCCGAAAGAATATGTACTGTGGGTGTATATGTATATATGTACACACAGATTGTGGGTGTGTACTTTGTACTTAATTATAGATGTTTCCTGCCAAGAGAAATGTTTTTTTGAGGTTGGGGACGGTTTTCTTTTTGCCTTCGTATTGCCAGTGCCTGACACGTAGTAGGGGCTTGTTGAATGAATGAAGGGAGTACTGTAGTAATGTAGTCTGCAGACTTGGGTTTGAATCTTGATTCTGCTACTTTGGGACTGTGTGACCCTGGACAAGTCCTGTCCCTCCTCGTGGCCTTTCAGGTGGGTTAGACTGGGTGACTGGGAAGGCTCTTTGGTTCTCAAACTTCCTAGTCTGGAATTCTTGATCAATTGCCTCTCTGCAACTTGTCCAACATCGTTGGTAGTTCTGCCCTCTAGGGTCAAGCAAAACAAATCGAATCCCTGAGCAGCCCCCATCAGCTGACGCCAGACAGGCCTTGATCCCCACACGTGGAATGCCTTCCTTATTTATCCCAACCTCTTAGAATCCCTCACCTCCTACACGAGGCCTTTCCTCATTCCTTCCAGTGGCAGCTGGGTGTTTTCCCCCACCTGTCACTAAGCCTGTAAAATGTAAGCAATTTGAGCGTAGGGGAAATTCAACCTCTCTTCTTGTCCCTAACACCTAGCATGGTGTCTGCACATGGTAGATGCTTAATAAAGACTTGTTTATTGATCACGTCCCCTTCTTAACCCTTCTCTTGTACAGGCTAAACATCTCCAGCTTGAGCACACTTGGCTCCTTCTGACACTGTTCTCATAGGAATATGCCACCCTTTTTATTTCATCTGTCCTTACTTGTCCTTCCGTCTTCTGTATATGTCTTTTAAAAGTCTCACCTTCAGGGGGCAGCTAGGTGGCACGGTGGATAGAAGGAGCATCGGCCTTGAAGTCAGGAGGACCTGAGTTCAAATCTGACCTCAGACACTTGACACTTACTAGCTGTGTGACCCTGGGCAGGTCATTTAACCCCCATTCCCTTACTAAAAAGCAAAAAAAAAAAAAAGAAAGAAAAAAAAAGAAAAATCTCACCTCCCTGTGCATCTACATTGATCCCTTTAGATCCCCACTTCTTCCTCCCAAGAATTGTTTGTCTTTATGGCTTCAGAATCTCATTTCTTCCCATCCTTCCTGGGCTGACTTCCCCTATAGTTTTTGCCCATGAGATCTTACCTAGCCTCTCTCTAAACCCTTTGGCATCTACTCTTCACAAAACTAGGAGGTGTATCAGACTACACTTGGCTTCACATATTTTTCACAGTTTCTAAGATAGAACTGTTACCTCCTCCTCTACCCATGGAATTCCCATTATTTCTACTCTAGCAACCAATTCCAACTTGTTGGTGAGAATCAGGTCCAGAATGGCAATTCTCCTCAATGGTTCCTCTATCTTTTGAAGGATGTATCAGTAAAGCAACCCAATAAGTTATTAGATGTTCTGTTTTTGGCAGGAAAATCTCTAGCAGATATCTGGAAGCTTAAAGTCCCCTCTGTGCCAGACTTGAGATTTATTTCCTGACCTACTTATCTATTTCCTCTTTCTGTCCAGGAGACCTATAGTATAATCTGATAATAGTATTGATTTTGGTTCTGCCTCCATTCATCCTCACCTCTAATCTATGTCATGGTGCCCCAGTTTCATTCCTAGATTTCCTCATTTAAATGTAACTTAATATACAGTGCTTCTTGACTTTGCCCTCCCTTTCTTAGCCTCTTCCAGTTGAATAAAGTATTTCAGATCCATATCCCAGCCATCAATCAGTACAGTACTGCCTCAATACACATGTTGAGGTATAGCCAAGATGGCGGAATAAGGCAGGAACTCAACTGAAGTCGCTCAAATTCACCCTCAAACAACTATTTAAAAAATTCCTCAAAACGAATTCTGGAGCAGCTGAACCAATAAAAAGATGGTGAAAAAAATAAAGTTAAACTGTTTACATTCCTAAATGGGAAGACAATACTTGTAACTCTTTTTTTTTTTTTTTTGCAGTGAGGCAACTGGGTTAAGTGACTTGCTTAGGGTCACACAGCTAGTACAGTGTCTGAGGCTGCATTTGAACTCAGGTCCTCCTGACTCCTAGGCCAGAGCTCTACCTACTGTGCCACCTAGCTGTCCTGATACCTGTAACTCTTAAGAACTCTATCACTAATAGGGTAGTTAGAAGGTGTATACATAGACAGAGGGTATGGGTATAAGTTGACTTTGGTGAGATGATATCCAAAAACACAACCACCAAAATTAAGGGGTGAGAAAGATGATTGCACTGGGAGAAGAGGGAAGGGAGAGATAGAATGGGGTAAATTCTCTCATATGAAGAGTTGCAAAAGACCGGGGTGTGGTGGGCATTGCTTGAACTTCGCTCTCATAAGAATTGACTCAAAAAGGGAATAACATACACATTCAGTTGGGTACAGAAATGTAGTTTATAGGGAAGTAGAATAGAGGGAAATGCACAGTAAATCATAACTGTGAGTGTGAATCGATGAACTCACCCATAAAAACAGAAGCAGGTAGCAGAGTGAATTAAAAACCAGAATCCTACAATGCATCAATTACAAGGAGCATACTTGAAGCAAAGAGAGACACAGAGTAAAGGTAAGGGGCTAGAGCAGAATTTTTATGCTTCAGCTGAAGTAAAAAGAGCAGGAGTAGCAATCATAAACTCAGACAAAGCAAAAGCAAAAACAGATCTAATTAAAAGACATAAAGAAGGAACTACATCTTGCTGAAAGGCAACATAGACAATGAAGTAATATCAATACTAAACATATATGCACCAAATGGTACAGCATCCAAATTCTTAAAGGAGCAGTTAAATGAGTTACAGGAGGAAAGAGACAGCAAAACTATACTAATGGGGGACCTCAACATTCCCCTCTTAGAACTAGACAAACCTAACTACAAAATAAACAAGAAAGAAGGTTAGAAAAGTTAGCTATGATAGACCTCTGAAGAAAATTTAATGGAGATGAAAAGGAACATGGCTTTTTCTCAGCAGTACATGGAACCTACACAAAAATTGACCATGTATTAGGGCATGAATACCTCATAATCAAATATAGAAAAGCAGAAATATTAAATGCATCCTTTTCAGATCATAATGCAATAAAAATAACATTCAATAAAGGGCAGTGGAAAGATAGATTAAAAATTAATTGGAAACTAAATAATCTAATCCAGAAGAATGAGTGAGTCAAAGAACAAATCATAGAAACAATCAATAATTTCATTAAAGAGAATGACAATGAGACAACATACCAAAATTTATGGGATGCAGCCAAAACAGTACTTAGAGGAAAATTTATATTTCTAAACACTTACATCAACAAAATAGAGAAAGAGCAAATAAATGAATTGGGCATGCAACTAAAAGAATTAGAAAAAGAACAAATTAAAAATCCCCAAACACCAAATTAGAAATCCTGAAAGTCAAAGGAGAGATTAATAAAACGAAAGTAAGAAAACCATTGAACTAATAAATAAAACCAGGAGCTGGTTTTATGAAAAAACAAATAAACAATAAAATAGATGATGGTTACTTTGATTTAAAAAAAGAAAGAAGAAAACCAAATTACCAGTATTAAAAATGAAAAAGGTGAATTCATCACCAATGAAGAGGAAATTAAATCAATAATACCTCTTTTTTAAAAAATTATATTTTATTTTTTCCAATTACACATAAAAGCAATTTTTAACATTCATTTTTGAAATATTTTGAGCTCCAAATTCTCTTCCTCTCTCTCTCCCCTCCCTGTACTTGAGAAGGCAAGCAATTTTATATATATATATATATATATATATATATATATATATATATATATATATATATATATATATATATATATATGCAGTTGTGTAAAACTATTTCCATATTAGCCATGTTGAGAAAGAAAACACAGAAAAAACCAAACAAGAAAAATAAAGTTTTAAAAAGTATGCTTCAATCTACATTCAGACTCCATCAATTCTTTCTCTGGAGTTGGATAGCATTTTTCATCATGAGTCCTTCTGAATTGTCTTGGGTCATTGTATTGCTGAGAATAGTGAAGTCTTTCACAGTTGATCATCGTACAATATTGCTGTTATTGCATACAATGTTCTCCTGGTTCTGCTCAATTCACTGTGCATCAGTTTATAAAAGTCTTCTTAGGTCTTTCTGAAAACATCTTGCTTGTCATTTCTTATAGCATAATAGTATTCCATGACCATTATATACCACAACTTGTTCAGCCATTCCCCAAGTAATGGGCATCCTCTCAATTTCCAATTCTTTGTCACCACAAAGAGAGCTGTTAGAAATATTTTTGTACATAGAGGTCCTTTTCCTTTTCTTTTTAAAAATCTCTTTGGGATGCAGACCTAGTAGTGGTATTGCTGGGTCAAAGGGTATGCACAGTTTGACTGCCCTTTGGGCATAGGTCCAAATTGCTCTCTAGAATATCTGGATCAGTTCACGACTCCACCAACAATGCATCAGTGTCCCAATTTTTTCATATCCCCTCCAACATTTGTCATTTTCCCTTTTCTGTCATTCAAGAAAACTCATGTTAAATTAGCCCCCTTGCATTAAGGTCTCTTGTTTACCTTGCCTGTTAACCCAGACGTTCAGCATTTATATTGACATGTGAGGCCATGGGCTCTATTACAAAGTTCCTTTCTTGGATTTTGTCTCCTGTGAACTTTTACATGTGTCAAATATCCTTTTTTTC